GACATCTGATATTGATGTGCATTCGCTTCTGATTTTGCCTCGTTTTTTTTTGTATTTTTTGTTGGAAAGTGCTGATGGTGCTGGTGGTTCCTCGAAATTTGTCATATTTACCGACGGACAAGTGATCGATATGCGCTGAAGTCTGGCGAAATCGGGAGGATCGGGGTCTGTCTTCGCTCTTTTTTTGTTCTGTGGCATCCTCGCTTGTAGACATTTTATCAGATTCTTTAATTGCGTAAAACATTTTTGGATTCTTCACGTACGAAATTCCAAAACACCGAAGCTTGTTAAAATTCTTCTATCACAATGTGTTGGTTAGTATCTGAGTGTGTGTGGGGGTCTTCGAGGAGTGAGAAAGAGACGGCAAAAGATATATCGAAAGAGACGGCTATTGCCATGTGGAACGTACGAAACGCCAATTAAGAAATTGACAAATTAAAGCTGAATGCTTTTTATAATCAAAACAGACAAAGCAAATAAGCCCGGCCAGGCGGCCAACAACTTGTTCGAGGTTGCTTGAAAAATGTATGAATTTTTATTGTCTTTATTGCCCGGCCACGAGCACACGGCACACACAGGCCCCAGCCAACTGGTTATTTAATATTTAATTTGTTATATATACTCAGCATTTTGCATATTATTCGACTCGCCTTTCCACCATTCCAAAAAAAATTATAACGAAAAAAAAACGAAAACTTTCTATTTTCGTTGAGATCTGAGATGTCCGCTGTGGCACTTATTTTATTTTATTTTTTATTTCGGTAGCCAATCGGCAGCGGCAAATTAACGCAACGGCTTGTTACAGACGCGTTTTACAATCTCGGCGCATTTTTTGCCCCATTGCAGGTTGCACGTTGCTCGTTGCAGGTTGCAGGTTGCAGCAATCAATCGATCAACCGATCAAGCGATCAAACGAGCGAAAGCTGCGGCCATGTCAAAGTCCTTTAAAAACAGCAGGAAGGCCCAAAGGAAACTGGTAAAAAGGCTGAGAGCCGGGAGCCAGAAGAGGAGGCCCAATACCAATACCATTACCAATACCAATCGATGGCCAACGATGGCTGCTTGCTGCATTCCGAAATGACAAAACAGTTAAAAAATAATTAATTGCGTTGCCTTAAATGGTCTAAAGCGGTTTGGCTTTTTCCTCCTTCAGTTTGCCTCCTGTTGCAGCTTTTTGCTGCTCGCTTGTTTGCAAGCTGCACCAGCAACAGGGGCTCACTGAGAAAAATAATTAATTCAAAATTCATTTATTTATTTTTCAAGTTCTTCAAATTTGGTACATTTTTTAAAATTCCTCGAAAGTAAAATTAGTTTATATATTTGAACAGCAATGCCTCCATTTAAGTATTCCTAAGAATACAAATAAGAGGAATATATTTACTAATTAATTCTACAGGCTTTGATAATGTAAGATATTTTATATTTTAAATTATATATCAATATTATCTCAAATTTCAGTATGACAGTAACCCATAAATTGTTAAAATAATGTATTGATTTAGTAGTAAAATGATCAGTGGAATGAATTATTATTATAACGTATTGTAATATATTTATATTTGTAATATATTTATTTTTAAACATATATATATTTTTCGGATAAAAAATAATAATTATAATATATTTCTTTCAGTGCATTATCAACTACAACAAGATCAACAAGTGCACATTTTGCCGCTGCTGTGCGTTGGCCGCTCATTGCCCATTTTGGCCATTGTTTTTATTGCCCGCCTGGAGCGGCCATCGGGCAGCCACTTTAGGGCTTATTAATGATGGATTCTCCTCCTCAATTCCTTGGCGACTCTTGTTTTATTGCGCAATTCAGACCTGTCCCCCCGAAAATGAACCCAAAGTTGCTTCGGGTTCGGGTTTTGGGTCTGTGACTTGGACTTGCAAAAACAAAGGACCTGGCCGAATGTATGTCAACCTTATTGTCCGCATGACAAATGGACAATTGGCGGGGAAAGAAACTGAAACTCTCTGGTGAGAGCTGCGTACTAAACGTTTTGGCAGCTTGGCGACTAATTTGGGCCAACACACTGATGACGATGGCCAGCAGGATCATTACGAAGAGGTAAAATCGTTAAAACCGAACTCAGAAGGGGGTTCCAAAATATTGATCATTAGTCAACTTTAAGTTAAGTAATTTCTTTAAACGTTTACAACAATGTTTATAACCAGAAATGATTGTGATTTCACTTTTATATACATACAGATATTTTACTAAATTATATAACTTACTAAATAATTTTAAGTAATTATAAACTAATCTGTTTACTTATTCCATAGCGACTTTGAACCTGTAAACCCCAAGGTAAAAGTTTTCCGATTATTATTAGTTTAGCTTTAAATCTCGCTGATCTTATTTAAACCACACTCATAATATAAATCAAGATTCTTATCGCTGGAAACACCGACAAACCGAGTGCAACAAATAACAAATTTTCACTTTTATTTTACAAATGATCGCAGGGGGAACCAGACAAGCACAGAGAAACTAATATCAAGATCCTATCGTTATGGCTTTGTAAAGTATCCATAACGGATTAACGCGCTGACGACTTCCCATAAAATGAGACCGAAATTGGCGGCCAACACCGATTCAATGCCAAGATATTTATGTAAGCCATATCCGACGGACAGAAATTCATGGACAAGAGATTACGGATCTGTAGTCAATGCATTGGCGATAAATTTCAATCAAATCCGATCGAAAACAAGACACAAAACATCGCCCCACTCAGAAGGCGAAGAAGAAGATCGTTCGTTGCATAATTAGAAAACGTCTAAATTTCGATTTGTATACGTATTCCGAAGAACACTAAATTAGATTTACGATACCCGATCAAAGCAGCCAAACGCACGGAACGCAATTAAAATCAGCTTAATAATTCTCCCCGAGAAGAAAGCAGATCAGAATCAGGTCCGAATGCCCAAGGTGTGATAATAATTTTATGAAAGAGTCTAACGAGGCAACAAATCAATTCCGCATAATGCCAATAAAAAAGATTTGAAGAAGGCATTTACATTCATGAACATAAATCTCCGTCCGAGCACAATGCTCAAATAAAATAAGAAAGAACTTAGGAAGACATATCCAACAATTTCATTATGAGGCCATGAATGAATGAGTGCCACACTGAGGGAATGGATGAATGAATGAATGAAAACTAGATGCTGCTTTCTTGGATTTATTGTTGGGCCCATTTTGGCGGCGAGTCAGATTTTTGGAGGACCTCACAATCGGTTAGAGAGCATTACGGGCGATTAGGTGTTAAACACACACAATTCGTTGGGCATTTCTGCCCGAAATTGTCAGACACATAATTTATGACCCGTGGAACATTGCCCTCGGGAACCCTCTGGCCAGAAAAGGGGGTTACAATCGCTGACGAGCTGCGGATCTGCAGGTAGGGCCCACCTCGGTGGTCGTAACCCCGGCCCCAGATTACCAGGTTTTCACTCAAGTGCAAATCCTGAGCATGCGCCTCTGGACACTCCACTGAAAGTCGCAAAGAAAAAGCCCCTAGAAGTGCACTGAAAATATTGAAAAAATTTACTATGATCATGTATTTATTAAAAATGTACATATATGAAATGAAAAACATTATATACAACAATAAATTTTACGGATCAGAATTAAAAACCAATGCTCGACTATATATGACATCATTTCTTTAACATAAAATTTTCAGATACACTTTATTATTAGCATATATTTTTACACATACACATATTTCACAATTATTCTGACAAGTAGCTATAAGTTTTACCATTTAATAGATAGGGTAGGTACTTTAAAAATCTTTAAAAATGCTTTAATATTGTTGATATAATCAAGCAAGGACAATATTTTCTGTGTGTAATTGCGAAGCTTTTTCGTTGGCGCCTCGGCGCCGCAATTAAGCAGAAATCGGTAAAATAAAAAAGAGCAAAAATTAAGGTTAATGTAGGCCGGGGTCTGCTAATTAAGATATGGTTGCCTGGCCGCGAACGCTCCACTGATTCCGATACTGCAGAGTCTTGGGATTCTCCCTGCACCTTTCGACAAGTCATTGAGCTGTTAAATTTATTTAATGCCTGCACAATGGAGGCAAACATGTTGCCAGTGGCTTTGTTATTAATTTTTATTGCTGTGCGATTGAGACAAGTTAATTTTTCCACGCAGCCATTCTTATTCGCTGGAATTGTCCGAGTCACGTACGGATTCCCAGGATCCCAAAAGATCAGCGGGCTGCCTGCTGCGCTTTTGTGTCGATTTTTCGAGTGTGCAGGTCCTTTTCTTTGGCACAGACTCAATGAATGGGCAGGTCCTTCATTCATGTCTTTCAGTCTCGAGAGCATCCCATTCAAGCCAAAAATTTCTCCCAGTTTTGTGGGTGTGTCGCACAGGGATTACACTAATGCGATAGTTGTCCCACAATTTAATGCACTCGCCGCACTCGAGCGAGGATTTAATGATGTTCCCACCAAGTTCAAGTGCTCGGTGACGGCAGATTCGCAAAAAGGATTTTCGGTTTTTGTTCGAGAAAAAAATTAGAAACAACGAAATCCTTTCATATGTTTCAAGAACCCTTCATATTTCATCGACACTTGAGTGTGAGTGCCGCCAGAAGTGTTTATTGTCTCTGGACATTGTCTGCAGGACTCTCTCTGGAGATCCTTTTAGGGATCTGAAAGCGATCCTCGTAGATCTTCAAGTGCAGGTGAGCACGAGCCCTATTTCGCTGACTAAGCCACTTTTTGAACTGAGGATTTACTGGAGATGCTGGAACTGATGCGCTTAACTCTTTGACTTTGTTTTGGGTCAAGCAGATCGGCTTAGGTTAGGATCAATTTTGACCGTAACTTTTAGACCTTTACAATTGTTAAGAATGGCAGTACTCTATAAGAATTTACAATCAAGGCTTTCCTTTTTTGTATATATGCCAGAGTATAAAATGTTAATCTACTTTTACCCAATTAAAATATGGTAAGATATTTGCCTAGAGCAGCTCCTTAGCATTTTATTCACTTAACTCTTTATAAACTAGTTCCTTACTTCCGGTACCACATCTGCAGAGTCCTCATGCGCTTGACCTTCTTCTGCAGCTGCAGGATTCCATACATTAAAGCCTCAGCGGTTGGCGGACATCCGGGCACGTATATATCCACCGGAACAATCCGATCGCAACCACGAACCACCGAATAAGAATAATGATAGTATCCACCGCCATTGGCGCAACTTCCCATGGATATGACCCATCTAGGTTCGGGCATCTGGTCATATACCTTTCGAAAAGCCGGTGCCATTTTGTTGGTCAAAGTTCCGGCCACAATCAGTACATCCGACTGGCGGGGAGAGGCCCGAAAAACCACTCCAAACCGATCCATATCATATCGAGGGGCTGCGATGTGCATCATTTCCACGGCGCAGCAGGCCAGGCCAAAGGTCATGGGCCACAGCGATCCCTTGCGACCCCAGTTCAAAAGGTCATCTAACCTGGCACAGGTCCACTCGCCCCAGGTCTTCTGATCCCTTCCGAAGGCGGAGTAACCCCATTTTGGGGGATTCTGGCAACGGTAATCGTACACCGGCATGGTCTTCTGGTCCCGAGACCATTGGGATTGGATCGCTGGAATACGGGAAAGCAACAGCTTGCCAGCATTCTTGGATAAAATCAAAGAACTTATCATCCTGATAAGATTCAATTTATTTCTTATGTACTTGCAACTTGAAAAATGTGAAAACTTACTTCCTTATTTTCTGATATTATAAAGACTGATAATGTTTGACACAAAACTCGAAATACATTTCAAAATTTTAATATATGTATTACTTCTTATTCCTAACTTTTATTTTAATATAAAAGAAATGGGTTTAATATTCTTATACACTAAAGTTGAGGTTACTTACGTAATATACTGCTATGACAGGTTTTTAAAGAAAAATGCACACATAACTTTTATTTTTATACCATTTTTACCCTTAATATTTATAGCAGCTTCAGCAATATTATAAAAGAAGCGATTAAGAATTTACGATATACGTTTACACCTCAGCCCCGACCCCTTTTAAAGATATATAGACACTTCCCATATGCTCTTCAAAATCCCATTTAGCTCCCCTTAACGCCACCGCTTGGCGTCAAAATCAATCGAAAAACCCAAGTAATGCTGGGCGGACAGCGAACAGGAATCGCTGGGCTCATAAATACGCATGAAGATGGAGCCTCCATTCATGCAGCATCGCAGTTCGAAGCGAGATCATTTAAAAGGAAATTATTAGCTGATTGCAGCAGCGCCAACCCGCTGTTGAGTACTTGGCTATTTAATGGGACTCTAGGACCTGGGGACAGGCAACTCGGATCTTGGGACAGGGAACAGCAGATGCATCCGCGGAGAACTTACGCAATCGATGCTCGAGCTCATTACGGAATCGACACTGGGAATATAAAAACCCATTTATAATATTAAGAAACTATCCTTGATTTGAGCAAAAAAGAACATAGGCCAAACTGATACTTTCATAAAATATTTTTATAACCACTTATTATCCTTTATTCAGGAATTCTATATTTTTTAAAAAGATTTTAAGCATTCACTCCTGATTATATAATAAATATATACATTTTCTTAAAAATAATTATTAAGACCAATTTGTATTATACATTCGTTTCTGATTTTTTTTATTCAATAAAAAAGTATTTTCCGTCGAAAAAAATTTAAACAAAGACATTTTCATTAAATAAGTAGATTCTCAATTTCGGAATCAGTAAAATAATGTTTGTTTTAGTGTGTCTCTGACTTAATTCATTCCAAATTAATAGTTAGCTTCTTAAGTTTAATGACTTGTGGAAATATATTTCCAAGTGTGAGATTGGAGTCATGGCGCTGGCGCAGCTGGCAGTCAATACTTGGTGGAAAAATGGCAACTGCCACTGCGGCTGCTGTGTCTTTTTGCGGTTTTTAATTAACGCTTTTGCACAATGCTTGTCTAATTACGCCTATGGTGCCACAGACACGACAACAAAACGGCAGCAACTACTAAATCATCAATATTGTCAAACGGCAGCTGCAGCGAATCCTTCAGGATGGGCAATAGAAAAAATAAAAATAAATAAAATGAAAAAAACATGAGACGGCAGACAGGGAACAGCCACTGACGACGATCATCGCATGGCAATTAGGCATTGGCTGCATTTGATGCATCATTAATTGAATTAAATTTGCATTTAAATGTGCACCTATGAATGGAGCAGCAGAAGGAGCAGGGAACTCTGGCCAGTGGCATTTTCCCAGCCAGAAAGCCAGCTCGTCTGCCTCGACAATAAACCGCTGATGAAGTCATATATGAGCCCGGCTCGAACCCATTGGCCAAATGCAGCGAATGCTGCGTACCCGGCAAAAATGCCAATTTAAAATGGCTAAAATAAATTGGTTTCGTTCGGCTTTGTTCGCCTCTCCGGATGGCTGGCCAACGCAAAATAGACTATCATCAATTTAAAATCAATATGTCACATAAATTGGAAGGGAAATCAACGCCAAAAGCCGCCAACGATATTGGCCAAGGAAAATGTAAAAAAAAGCCAAAGAAAAGAAAGATGCGAAATAAATAAGTAAAGGCAAGGAAGGAAGAAGTGCAAGGGAAATTTTGGATACTCTTGGTGCTGCTAAGAAAATTTATAGAATATATTGAAGGACTTTATTTTCGACTTGAACTATTTAGGTATCAAAAGATGTTCTTTGAATATACATTGAAAAAATACAACACAATTTAAAAGATGTGTTATTTTATGGCTACTGAACCGAGATACCTAGAAAATATAAAAAATAAATTACAAACGCAATTAATTAAAATGGAAAAATTGTATACATTTTTAAGAACTAGTGAAATATATTTGTAAAGCCCTTATGTTCTTAGTAAACTTGCTTATATACTAAAAATGTGTTCAAGAGAACACAAAATGAGAACAGAATGATCATAGCATGAATTATTGTTAGGATATAAATGAAAATAAGGATTTCCTGAAGCATTTTTATTTAGTTTCTTAATATAAATTTTCCTTGATTTTTTACCAGTACCTATTTTTGGATTATCTTTTGAAAGGGTATGATAAAAGTGGACAAAGGCTGCAGTTGCAACTGCAGAGTCCACTGCGATTACTTTGCTATAATTCGTCGTCATCGTTGCCGCAACTTCTGCCCGCTGCAACAGCAACAGTTGCTGCTGCAATGCAATTGTTGCTGCTGCTGCTTGGTGACATCGTCGCTGGGGTTTTATTGGCCACTTTTGGCCACATCAGCGACAACGATGAGACAGCCGAGTGCGCTTCCTGTCTCATGGCTCATAGCATATAGCATATATCCACTGTCCACTGTATGGGCCATATGTACCATATATCTGTGTGTACTGCCGGACAACTTGCCATTATTATGCGCATGTTGCATTGCATTGTTGCTGTTGCATTTGCTGTTGCTGCTGCTGCTGCTGCTGCTGCTGCTGGCCTGCTGCTGTTGTTGCCGGATTTGTCAGCGATCCTCAAAGTGATAAAAATTGCTCGTAAATCCTTAACGAGTGGAACTAACACGCGCTGGCTGGCCGGCTTACTAACCGAAACTCAGCCCACTCCCCCGCATCCGAATCCGCATCCGCACACCACATTTGTCTTTTTAGCGAACTCCTAAAACAACATGCCAAATGGAACAATGGCCGATCCGCAGACCGAAATGGACGCGCTCATCTCTTGATCTGCATTGTTAGCGGCCAGCAGCAGCAACATCCGCAGGAGCAACATCAGCAACAGGAGCAACATTCAGCCACATCACACTGAGAAAAAGAACCTCATTCGAAAGATAGTTATCCAGAAAATATCCTAAATTATAATATTCCATCTTTGTAACCGCTTTGTAACCACTTCTGTAATGTTGCAGCATTCCATTAACGTGTAACATCGATTTTTAATAGTAGTTTTCCTCAGGTTGTAGCCGACAGTAATATTCCAATAGTATCACCATATACAACATCATTAAATTCTAAGTTTAAGGTCGTAATTCCTATTTGAAATTTAAAGTTATTTTCTCTGTGCAGTAGCATCTCCAGCATTCCGTTTTCATTGTGACTTCTGGATCTCTTTGCATTCAACAGAACTCACACCAATCCATTGGTTTTGGCCAGTTTATGCATCACCAAGCACCAAATTGACTCCATTAAATTCCAATTGTGCCAATGTTTTCTTAAAATGGGGGAGGAGAAACCGAAACAAATGCCAAGTGTTGACCAAGTTGATGAGTTTGTGCAACAATGTAGTGCAATTGATGCTTGCTTTTTCCACTTTAAAGAACCGAAAGTGTAGCAGTAACAAACGAAACCAACTCAATTTCCATAAAACTAAGAAAATTGTTTTGCTGTAGCCAACTTGCTATAGCCAACGATAAGCCGCAATTAAGCCTTAATGTCCGTCTGATAAACGCTAATTTAACAACCCCACACAAGAAGCCAAAGCCAAGTTACAGGTTAACGCTAACAAATCAGATCGAAACCATATGGTTAACCAATTAAAGATGCAAAAGACAAAAAGCCAAAAACCAGCTGACAATAAAACCAACAAATTTTCGTATTTAACGATCGACGAATTAACATACATTTACACATGCCGGGAGTGGGGCAAACGAGTTTTCAACTTTTCGAGGCGGGCCACCGTCAGTCAGAGTGTCCGACCACCCAAATGGGAGATGGGGAGGCAGAGATGACAGTTTGGGGGAAAAAAGAAAAAAAATCATTAACAAAAGGTAGTTATCGCCATCAGAAACTAGGATATTATAAACACTACAAGCCATTTTTACTAATTCTTGGTATCTTACATATAAAAGTAACAATCTATTACAGAAAGGTCCATAAAATTAGGAAATTTTTATCACCGTAGTGAAAATACTTCAAAAACAAGGAAAACTAAGGTATCCATATTTTTGTTATTATAAACATAGAAATATATATTATAAAAATATTTTTTTAAATAGATATGAAATCGGTGTTATAATACAAGAAATGAACAACCAGATTATGCTAATAAAATGCTAAACGGACAGCTCCAACAAGGAAGGAAAAAGCCAGGGCAACAGGGCGGGGCAGCAGCTCCACATCTCTGTATAAGTAGGTGTTGACAGTTCGTTATAATAATAACTACTTTAAAATAAAGCCCCAACCAGAGCCGATAATTAATTACGAACGATTAATGACATTGTTATCTAAGCGCATGACACACGCCGCGGGGCAAAAACAAAACAGACGCTCGTCGACTTTTCGCTCGAGTTCAGATGAGTTCAACCGTAACACCTCCGCCTTTTGTTGGGGGCGTTCCGACCGCCTGCTGTTTTCAACTAACTGTTCTGCTTAACTTGCGAATAATTCGATCAACAGCTTCATCTTGGGGGCTTACACAGTAGATATAGCTGAAATAGACCGATAGAATGAATATGAAATGGAAGTAAAAATATTATAAAACAGTTTAACGTATTTTTAGTTCTTAACAATGTGCTATGTGCTATGGTATCGAAGCAGTATCATATTTGCAAATATTTTCCTATAGTTTATCTAGCTATTTTTTAACTTTCACTTAATAGGACTAAACAACACTGCATTTAATTTTTTCCACACCCTTTAAAAAGTCAGGCCAAGTCGGCTTCTTTGAACCGCTTGTTGTGGTTATTATGTAAAACACACAAAATCCTTTTAATACATTATGTCACATTCACATCACTTACCCCTAACATTTGTATTTGTCT